GTCGTCTGCGTCCTGGGCGAGGCGAGACACCGTGGGGGCTCAAATAGGTGCCGGGGTCATCATTGGGTCCTAGGTAAGACGCGCGAGCCCGTCGTCGGCGTCCTTCGAACAGATGCGGGGGATGTCGCCGGGCACCTCTGAAAAGTCCATAAGCTACCGGTGCGGCGGCCAGCCTGGCCGAGCCTGTCCTGTCCAAGCTCCGCCAAGCTCCCAGAAGCCGACTTCTGGGCCCCGGAGACGAGGGGAGGTCTTGATGCCCGCAGGGTGTGACCAAGACGGCAGAGGTGCCGCGCAGAGGGCCTGGAGGACACGTCCATGACGACGTCTATGCATCTGCCTCGCGGCCTGGGAACACACCCTCGGCGCTGCCCGGGCCGGCGGCCGGCGGGCAGTGCATTCGGAAACCGGTTCCCGAGGGCGCACCGGCCGGCCAGGACGGTGTCCTTCGAGGTGTCCTGAGACTTGTCCTGAGGACGCGGTAAATGGGAGTGCGGGCTCCTCGGCCGCCTCGGTCACCTCCGCGGCCAACTCATTGGCGGAGTGGCGACGAGCCATTAAAGAAAGTTCGTTACTCGAGCCGACGCGCCGAGTCGGGCCTGGCCGGGCCGCCGGCCGGATGTTTGCTCGGCGGCTGTCTCCAGGACGCGCGGTGACGTGCGGGGATGTCCAGGGGGATGTCCAGGGGGATGTCCAGCCCGGCTGGCCTGCTCCAGCATGTGCTCCAGCGTGCTCCAGCCGCCCCGCTGCAGCGCTGCAGCATGCTGCCACAGTAATTATCCAGCCGGGGCCTAAGATGCAGCAGTGTGTGTCCCGGGGCTGTGCTCTGTGTGTGTGTGTGTGTGTTCGTTCGTGTGTGTGTGTTCGTGTTCAAATAGCCAAAGTTGTGGGATAAAGTTTCGCAAGTTTCCCCGCTCGGGTCGCGACGAAGTGGTGTGGGAGAGAGAGGGTAGAGCAGCCGGGCGTGTCAAGGGGCCGCGGGGAGGAGAGAAAGGGAGCGAGAGCGAGAGAGAGAGAGAGAGAGAGAGAGAGAGAGAGAGAGAGAGAGAGAGAGAGAGAGAGAGAGAGAGAGAGAGGCGAAATGGAGGAAACTAATCAGGTTTCGGCTGAAATGAAAGGACTATTTTCGTAAGCACACCGGTTCCTTTGTGTCAAAGAGGCAGGAAGCGAACAAGGGTGCCTCATCCCTTCGCCTTCGGCCCGCCCCGCCCGCCCCGCCCCCGCCGCCCGCCGCCCCCGCCAAGGAGCAAGGAGCGGATATATAATTGTGAGGCTGATGAATACAGGAGCCGTTTTCAATATGCATCGGGTGGTGGCGGCGCGTTGGCAGGGCGGCGGGGCGGCGTGGTGCTCGTCGGGCTCCTTGTCACGCCGACAATGCGGCTCATTTTCACAACCGACCTGACCAGCGTCCAGCCTCGGCAAGCCTCGGCCAGCGCGCCAGCGTGCCTCCGCGTGGGTGGAAGGAAGCAGCGACGATTGCGGAAGTCGATTCCCATAGTTGCCCGTTCCCACGACGCCACAACCTGATTCCTCATTTTTTCGGGGCTTCCAGTCGTCAACGTCAATCGGTGACTTCATTAGGGGATTCCCTGTCGCCCTGGCTGCCCTGCCGCGGCTCGAGACACGTCGAGAGACTGGGCGGCGCGGTTCGGAGCGGGGCCTCTCCCGCCCCGCCCCCGTCGCTCGGGGCGCGGGCGGCGCGGGCGGCGCGGCGCTGCAGGCCAGTTCGGGTTTGGCGAGTCCCGCCGTCCGGCTGCCGTTGCCTCCAAACGTCCACGCGACGTCCTGGTGCGACAAAGGCCGCTACTAGGGCCGCACACGGCCGCGCCGTGCGTGTCCACTGTGTCGACGAGCTGGCCGGAGACTTCAATGCAGCCTTTGGACATGTGCCTTTCCATATTCAGGTGAGGAGCGCTAACGCATCGCGCACACAGTGTGGGAGCGAGGCGGAACTTGTTTTTTTCGGGGAAGGAAACGCTGTGTCGACAGAAGACGTCAATCCGGCTAGTGCCCCGATGTGGCGTGGCACCCGTTAGCACCTGGGCCCCCGCCCACCTCGCCCCCACTTGGAGTGTTACGTGGTTGGTGGACGGCCGCGATGCCGCGATGCTGCCGAGGGCCGCGCAGCCGCGCGCACCGGGACACATTCTTGATATTTTCTCGGCGGATATTTCACCTCGCCTGCTTTTGATTTGACTTTGTTACTTTTTATGAGCGACGCGGTGCACCGGCCTATGTTTACCGAGGCAGCACGGCGGAGCGACGCGGAGCGAGCGCATCCTCCTCCTCTTCCTCCTCGCGGAGGTGCGCGCCGTCTGACTCACTGGCTGGAGACGGCTTGTCTGCTGAAAAAGAGGGAGAGAGAGGGAGAGGGGAGGGGGAGCAAAAGTACGAAGGCCGACGTAAGGCCAGCGATGGTATACGCTCATGTACGGCACACCGCCCCCCTCCCCCCCCCCTCTCTCTCTCTCTCTCTCTCTCTCTCTCTCTCTCTCTCTCTCTCTCTCTCTCTCTCTCTCTCTCACACACACACACACACATCCCTGTACTTACTCTTCTCTTTTCCATGTGGAGAAGATTTCTCGGTAAAAGGGCGCAGCGCGAGCTATAACCGTCTGGAAAGCAACGCTATAAATCTAGCGCGATATTGCGAGCAGTCTAGTTAGAGATGTGAATATCGCTCTGGTTGCGGCGTGGCGAGGCGTGGCGAGGCGTGGCGTGGCGTGTCGAGGCGTGGCGAGGCGTGGCGTGGCGTGTCGAGGCGAGGCGCGGCCCACGTACTGGCCGCAATATGGCCCCATAGCGTCGCCGTTCCCTCCGACCGAGAAAATTCGGGCATTACACTGCGAGCGTCACTTACGCCCGGACGGACGGCGTGGTGTGGGGCAGCGTGGCGTGGCTTGTCTCGAGCAGTTTGCGAGGCCGCTTCCACGACGCCGTTTTCACCTGGCCTTTTCGAGTTGCCGTTTGCACGCATCGGAAGCGGAAAACAGCCTAAAGTGACGCTGAGCGCCCTGCCTTGTCCGCCTGGTTCGACCCGAACCCCACCAGGGCCCACCAGGGCCCACCAGGGCCCCGCCTAGCGTGTCACCGCCAAGCTAAGACGCACCGGGCGTTACATTGGCCGCGCTGCCGCGCTGCCCGACCCGGGACCTTGCCCAGCACCCACCCCCTGCCCGCCCTGCCCCCTGCCGCGCAAGGTGCTTTGTGTGTGGCCACGCCAGGCCGCGCAGGGAGAGCAGGGGGAGGCCGGGGCCCGGGCTCGGGCCGGGGGTTTTCGCAAGAAGCAGCACTCATTTCTTCCCCGGGCCATTCGGAATCAAAATTAAACCTTTCAATGGAATCGGGCCTCTTGCAGTGTGGGGTGGTCCTTGCACGAATTCATTCACAGTAGCCTACACCAAGTGGTGCTTAATCGCTGAAATTATCTTAATTTTGTTTGGGTGCACTAAATTCTTATGGACTTTTTATGCATGGTGATGCATGCAAAGATACGTTCATAAGGTGTGTATAATATTATGCATCACTGTGTACATTTTATGCAGGAAGATGCATAAAATGTACACAGAGATGCATAATTGTGTGCTGTGTACATTTTATGCAGGAAGATGCATAAAATGTACACAGTGATGGATAATTGTGTGTGTGTATAATATTAAGGATCACTTTGTACATTTTATGCATCTTCCTGCATAAAATGTACACAGTGATGCACAATATTATACACACCTTACGTACGTATCTGTGCATGCATAATTATGCACGGTCTGCTGTGGTTGTGGAAGTTGGAATGACCGCACTGTACTGGTCATTTTGTCAGTCATGGGCTCAGAGTTGTAATTTGCCTAATTAAATTTGATTAACATTTAACATGTGTCATGGGCGATTCGCCTTTATTGAGCATGAGAACGACGTGGCTGTCATGGGCGCGGAGTGCCACACTGTGATTGGCCGCGGAGTCGCGTTGGCGGACAAGGCGCGCCTCGACTACAAAGTCCGCCCGGGAGGGCAAGCCAGGCCAGGGCAGCCCCGCCGCCGCGGTCTGCGACACGGCCAGACAGAGCGGCACCTTGACGCCGTGGTGGTGGCGGCGGCGGCAGGGCAGTGCCGAGCTTGGCCGTCCGCCCGCGCGCCGCGCCACCGTCCAGCACCGCGCTGGCGGCGCTGCCTCGCCACTGCCGGTCGCACCGCGGGGCCTACGCCCGGCCCAGGCGCCCAGGCCTCGGCTGCAGCCACAGCGCGGCCAGCCACTCACACATGCAGCGCATGCGGCGCACGTGATAAAGCCGCAGGTCCTTCGGATGGTCGCGGACTAGACGCCGCGGTCCGCCGGGGAACACTGCGCCGCTCGGCCGTCGCGCCGCACCGCGGCCCCGCGTCGCCTCGCGCCTCGCGCCGCGCCGCGACGTCGTCCGCGATCTGCCTGTGCCGTGCCTGCGCCACACGCCACCATCCTCGGCGTCGCGCTGCCCGCTCTGGCCGCTCTGCCCGCGCTCGGCGGCTCCGCGGCGGCCCGGCTCGGCGCGGCCGCCCGGCCGTGTCCCGGCTGCGCGCCGCTTGTCTCCGCTCCGCTCGGCCTCCCCCTCCACCGTTCCCCCTCCACCGGCTGAGGGGGCCGGCCCTTCCCCCACCAGCCAGGCTGCCCTCCCCTCCCTCGATTGATTGTAGAACGTATGCATTCCTCAGTACGCGGCTGCCTGCCGCCGATGCAACATCACAAGAGCGGGCACGCTGACGCCCCCGCAACGCAATTACTTGATTATTATTTAAGTTTGTTAATATTTTTATTTTGAGAACCTTTTCGCGCGGGAGTCGACAAGTATGCAAGGACTGTGCGATCGCCGTCATTCGCGCGGAGTGTCCTGTCAGTGACGCAATATGCCGAAGATGAAAGTGACGTGTTGGTGACAGTGACCGCGTGTGCCGTGTCTGTGACTGGATAGTGTGTCAAGCTTCCAAAGAGTAGTTATGGTGTGTATTAGTGTGCTCCAAGTTCCGTTGGATTACCTCTGCCTCATCGTTCCTGCCATCTCAAGCCCTCAGGAGGATTAGTATCTAACTTCAGTGCTTTAGATTTTGAATTCTCCCCGCGCTGTCGGCGCGCCGGAAATTCGTTAGGCATTGCCGGAGTTTGGAATATGTGTGCCAGTGAGTGAAACGGATATCGCACCTCTGAAGATTGTCAACCACTTCAGGCGACAAGAGATTCGCCAAAGTGTTGGTTCTCTGCGCCGACTGCTCTTAAAGGATATCTTAACATGGAGTGCCTCTCGGTGGAATACCACTGTGACAACCCCTCAGGTATTTCCTCTGCTGCTTGTCAGTGCGCGGAGCACAGACGGGGGCTCCACCCACGCTCGGCCGCCACGCGGGTGCCGGTGGCTGAGGACCCCGCGACGACCGTCTCCGTCGCCGTCCTCCCCGGCCGGCACGCTGGCGGACACCCCCGCCGCCGGCCAGCCGCCACGACGCCGACCCGGTGTCTGCACTGCGTCCGCCGTGGGCATTGACACCCGTCCTCAGCCGCCAACAACAAACAAAAACGGAAAACAAATTGGGCTCATTTGCATAAGGTGCAGGTGGTATGCGGAGGTAATCTGTACCGCCCTGCCGGCCCTGCCGGAGCCGGTGACAGGTGCCAAACGTCTGGAAGGGGTGCCCTCGCCGGTGGCGTGCTGGCCGTGCTGGCCGTGCCGACCGTGCCGGGGTTGACGGCATTTACATAATTTGCATATGACGTTCCTCGCGGTCCAGCCCTGCGCAGGCTCCGCTCCGCACTTGCCCCTTGTTGTGATGAGACGTGCGCGTGCAGCCCAGGTAACGCACATCTCCGGATAAATATTCAAAGTTGTTGGCGGTGAGTACACTGTGTCGCGGTCCGGGTCAGTGTCAGGTGGCCGGCGCGTGCCGGGCTTTTCCAGGGCCGCCCGGAAAATCGATGTGTCGGTTTTCCTCCTTGTCTGTGAGTGTCTGTGTGTGTGCCTGTGTGCGTGCGTGTGCGTGGCTGCGATTCGGCGAGACTGCTTTGACGTCCGAGGCCGACGCAGGAAAAAGGAGCGCAGGAACGTCGCGGCGCGAATTTCGGCACCCGGTCTTTTTTAGGAGCTCCGCGCTCCGCACACCGGCCCCGGCAGCCCCGGCGTGCAGGCCGTGGACTGGGCCGGCCTGGACACACTGGACACTCTGGACCCGGTCCTGGTGCCGGCTATTGTTTTTATTGGGCCCCTCTTGTTCTCTTTGTGGACGATGGACGGCGGTTTGGAGACTGCCGCCGCCACAGCGCAGCGCGCGGCTGTCTCGTGTTTCAAATTCCACGACAGATTTATACGATAACGTATAGTTCGAGGGGAAAATAAAACCGTGATGAGGAATGTCCCAACGCGTCGCCGGCCGGCCGGCCGAAGGGCCGCCGTGCGGAGGTGGCCGTCGTGGCCGTCGTCGCTGACCCCGGTCCCGGCGCGTCGGTGTGCGTTCGGCAGGGCAGGCAGGGCAGGTGACCGCCCAGTGCCGTGGTACGTATCGCGTTGGTCGCGCCTTCTCCAATCGTCCACGCCGCGGCCGCGCGCGCCCTCAAAAAGTGAACTGCCGAGTCCAAAGTGTAAAGATTAGTGGCCCGGTGCGGTGTCCGTGCCCCCGGACCTAATTGTCCGGCCAGGTCCGCGATAAGCCACTTTTTTGTGGGGACACTGGCCGGCCTGCATGCTGATGCTTGCTGATGCTGGGGTGCAGCGCGGGTCATACTCTCTGGGCGCGGCGACGCGACAGCGCGACAGCGGCCAGCGCTCTCCGCGGCGTGAATGGAGTGAGTAGAGGGTGCAGCGTGCAGCGGGGTGGCGAAGGCGAAGGCCGGGCCGGGGTGTGACTGGTGTGACAGGGCGGTCCGTTTGACGGCGGCCCTCTCTCCGCCGCCACCTCCGCGCCACTCCCGTCGCCGTGCCGTCGGCCTGTGTGCGCGGTGAAGGGTGGCCATACTGCCCCGCGCGCTGCGCGCGGTGCGGTGTGCAGCGCGTGACTGGGGCGTTAGCGCGACATTTCCGCCGACACAGCGCCAGGCCGGCCAGGCCGGGCCAGCAGTGGACGACAAGCGTCCCGGACACGAGCCCCAGGTTCGCCTGGAATTAAAAATTGGGCGCGTGTATTTTGTGGCGGTGAGGTGGCTTACCTGCTGGGGTGCTGGGGCGGCCGGGCCGGCCGTGTTGTGGCGTGCCAGTGGCGTGCCAGTGGCGTGCCGGTGGCGTGCCGCTGGCGTGCCGGTACGGAGTAGAGGTGGTGTTCTCTGTCCGGCCGGCTTGTAAACAGACCTCGGTACAGTCTCAGCAGGAAGTGCGCCGCGGTGCGGCGGAGGGGCGGCCGGGCCGGCGGCGGGACGTGCGTGTGCGTGCCGCCTCCGTGCCGTCAGCCCCGCTGTCCACGCACCGTCCGTCCCCAGCCGGCCGGCCCGCCCCCGCGCCAGGGGCAGCCCGGGTCCTACCTGCCTGTACCGCCCCCACCCCGCGCTCCCGCAACCCGACCGGGCCAAAGCTCCTGCTGGCTGGCTGCCTGGCTGGCTGCCTGGCGGTGCCCTGACTGGCCGCCGGCTCGGCCTGCCCCGGGCTGCTATGCCCCTCCGTGTTTTACTGTTGTCATAAAGCATGCCCCTACCGAGTAGGCATCCCGGCGTAGCGCGACCCGGCCTCTGCCCCGGCCATCGTGTTCCAGGCGACACTTTATGAGCGATCTGGAGAATCCTTCCTGATAATAATATTTTCTTGTTTTCTTGTCGTTGCGTTCCGAGAATTCTGTGGCTGCGGAGGCGTTTGTCGTTTATTGTGAACGCGCTGGATGCGCCGGGTGGGGCGGGGCCGGCGGGGCGGGGTGTGTGATAGATCGTGGTCGATGGTCGCGCGTGAGGTTGGCTATCTGTTATCTGTCCACTCAAGTCGTAGGTAAATCTGAACCGGCCGGTCCCGGCCCGGCTGTCTTTATTGATGATGCCTTTGACGGATTGCTGGGCCGTGTGTGGCGTGCCGTGGCGTGCCGTGCCGGCCGTGTGTTTGGTCCTGATTGCCACGGCGGCGGCCTGATCGGCTGCGAATTAGAGTGTTACACATTAATCCCGCCGGATATGGAGAGCGTTTTGCAAGGCAGTCGATCACGTGAAAATGAGAGGCGACGCGTCAAAGTGTCGCAAGCCAGAACAGCCGGGGGAAGGGGGAGGGGGCAGTGACTGTAGGTGTTGGGAAGGGTTCGAGGTTGGGCCGTCCTGGCCTCCAGCCGGCATTCTCACTCGGGGGGGCCGAGTAGTGTTCAGTGTATCAAACACACACAGCGGTGCCGGAGTCGTAAGGAACCGAAGCACGCTTCATTTATCACCATGGCAACCACACCTCGCCCTCCCCTTCCCCTCCACTGCCGCGCCTATCTACGACGGGCCGACGCACCTGAAAGTATTCCTGTTTGAAGGGGGGAGTATGTGCAAGGATTGCGCGTGGGTGACAAGCTCGGCCTGCCCTGGGACGCCCTGGGATGGACGCCCTGGGACGGATGCCCTGGCGGAAGCGGATGGCCCGGGGGCGACGGCCTGTCTGGTCTGGGCCCCTGGGCCCCTGGGCCGCGTACCCCCGTCGGAAGCCGTCCCGGACGGCCCGAGTGGAGCGTCCCCCGCCGGCACGGTGTGCTGTGGCACCCTGGGTGCTTGAAGCGGGGCAGGAAATCGGCGGCACTCGCCGCCCGGTGTCCCAGAGTCCCGGAGGCAGCGTGGTTGTGGTATCGCCGGCCAGCCTCGGCCAGCCTCGGCCAGCCAGCCGGCGGCCGTGTGACGGGACAGGTGGAGCCACCCCTCGGATGGCGCGGCGCACGGTGGCGGGCGGGGGTGGCGGCGGCGCTACCCCGCGCGCCCGGGCGCTGCGAGGCGAGGGGTATGTTCGCGGCGCCGCGCGCGCCGCGGCCTCACCACACCGCGCGGCCGTGCGTGGATTGGTGGATTGGCGCGGCCGGGGAGTCAATTGGCGGCTTGGATTAGGCACTGTTGCCGTACTCTGCCTGCTCGTTGCATGTGGGGGAGGGGAGGGGAAAGGGGGGGGACGCGCGCCCCCTTGATGTGTCGGTCGGTGCATTTGGCTTTTGTGCTTATACATGTCGCCGTCCTTGATTGGTACTTTTATGCAACGGTGGGCCTGTCGGCGCTTGACGGTGTGGGTGGGAGGTGTGGGCGGTGTGGGCGGGCGGCGCCTCCATGCCCCGCGCCGGCCTTCCGGTTCCGGCTGCACCGGCCTGGAGGGACCTGGCGGCGCCTGGCGGGGCGCATCGCCACGCACGGCGACACGGCGGCGACGACGGCGACCTTGAAGGGCTCGGTGCGCTGGCTGCGCGGTGCGCGCGGTGCGCTTGGAGGCATCGCGTGCCCGCCGGGCCGAGGGCCGCGCTGCTCTTAATGGCCCCGCCATCTTTACGAGATGCTTTCGCGTGTGTTGTTGTATTATTGCCTCGCGCGCCTTTCTCTCCCTCTCCTCCTTCCTCGTGTTTGTCGCGCCCTCCAGCCCGCTCCCCTCCGCGTTATTTTATTGCGTGTATTTCGAATGGGGGGGGGGGGCTGTGTCGCTGCGGGGGTGGAGGGCACGGCGTGGCCGCGCGGGCGGCTCTGACCGGCTTTGTGACCGTGGTCAGTGCGCTGGGCCGTTGGGGCCGTTCGAGCCCTTTGGACGCCGTGGCCGCACCGTGGCCGCCGTGCTGCTGTCGTCCCGTCCAAGAAGTCCAAGGCCGGCCCAGCCTGGCCCTCGCTAAATAATTTCGGTCGGGGCGATCAGAGTGGAGGCAAAGAAGCAAAGCACCAAAGCGCGCTCTCGGCCGCCCCCGCCGCCGTGCCGGTGGGGCCCTGCCGGGCCGCGCCGTTGCATGTTATTTCGGTTCGAACTGCCGTTGCCGTGACGTGCCGTGTTGATTTCCATTGTGCATGCTTCGTTGATGGAAATCTGGAAATGGGTCTGCGTCGTGGCGTGTCCGCGGCGTGTCCGCCGTGTACCTCGGCGGCTGCCGAAAGGCCGAACCCGGCCGAACCTCAAACGGGCCGCACGCCACCGGCGCGGCGCCGGCACGCAGAGGCACGCAGAGGCACGCACGCACCCACGATGGAGCAGTCAATCGCCTTGTCAAGGGTGGCGGTGGCTCCACGCTGCCCCGCGACGCCGCGACGGGGCCGCCGTGACGGAGTGGGTGGCGGCCCTGGCGGCCTCGTCGCGGGCCTCGTGGTCGCGGTGGCGGCGCGTAGTGTCCGCACCGTCCACGCAATCCCAGAATAATCACGGACGGGCCGCGGCGGCCGA